TAGCACAGTGGTAGGGCGTTTGCCTTGCACGCAGCCAATATGGCCGACCCAAGTTCGATTCCTCCGCCCCTCTCGGAGAGCCCAGCAAGCTACTGAGAGTATCTCGCCCGCATGGCAGAGCCTAGCAAGCTACCCATGACGTATTCAATATGCCAAACACAGTAACAAGTCTCACGATAGAGACGTTACTGGGCCCACTCGAGCAAATCGATGAGCAACGGGAGGACTGTGACCATGACCGTGATAGCTAATGTGCAATATTAGAGATATTAGTGATGGGGGAAAATTATACTTCATTAAGAAAAAGAAGGTATCATCATAATTAGAGGTTCTGTTGCAGGAAAACTATTCACTATTCATTTTCCTTATAATTTTTATTTCCTACTAGGTTTCAGCCTGTGGTAAGTCCCTGTTCCACTAATAATCCACTAACCAGGACCTCTTAGGCACCATGCAGGAAACTCTGTAATCCCCGATGTTCAGGGACACCATTCATTAAACCATGTATGAACACACTCCTCAGAGGATTGGGACCAGCCCCACCGACCCACATGCATGGCTGACACCCTACTGCCCCTCCTTCACACAGAAGCATGTTCTTATCCCTGTGACTGGCACACTGAGCAACATTTAGAGGGAAATCCCCTGGTGGTCTGAAAGAGTATCCTTGTCATATGATTGCAATAGAACTGATCCTATCACTGTGTTCCAAAGGGCAGAAGGATGTGTGCAGGACACGACCACCTGTCCTTCCCCTCACACAGTCACCTCCCATCAGACACGGCTCACTAGGCTCAACTTTTGTGAAAGGAAAGTGAGCTCTGCTATTCTTTTTCAAGTGTGTAAAAATATACCTGAGAATATCACTGACCTTTTTGCCACTAAAAAAAGTACAGTTCAGTGACATTACGTACACTCACATTTTTGTACAACCACCACTATCATCTATCTCTAGAATGCTGCGTTGTCCCAAAGAGAAGCTCAGGGCCCATTAAACATTCATGTTCCTCTTCCCTTCTAGTCCCTTGATAACTACTGTTCGACTTTTACATTAGGAATCTGACTGCTGAAAGTACTTTCTTCAAGTGAGATCATGTAATACTTGTTCTTTTCTGTCTGGTTTATTCTTCTTGGCATGGATGAATCTCATAAGGTTCATCTATTTTACTATGAGTCAAAATTTCATCCTTTTAAGGCTGAAGATACTTCAGCTGTCTATCTCTCCTGTATCTTCTTCATCCACTGCTCACTATTGGGCACATGGTTACTTTTACGTTCTGGCTATTCTGATCAATGCTGCTATGAACCCAGGCATATAGATTGTTTCAGTCCCAGCTCATACTTCTAGGTATGTACCCAGAAGTGAAACTGTTGAATCATAAGGTAATTCTATGCTCAATTTTTAAAAAAGGAATTGTTGTATTGTTTGATATGCATTAAAAATCAATCAACTTTATTTTTCAGTAGTTTTAGTTTCACAGCAAAATTTAGGGGAGAGCACAGAGGTTCCCTTCTGTCTCTTACCTCTCTTTCCCCCACTTCCAAACACACACAGAGGGTTTTTAGAGAGATGCCCAAGGCACTTGTATCTGGACTATTGTCCAGAGGCAGCAGGGAACGATCTGGGCAGGTCTGCCAGGTCCCCCAGGAGCTGGATGCTTGGATTCATGTCCCAGCAATCTGCCTTGTACTGCTGCCCCCGGCTATCACTATAAAACTATGAAACTGAGTGATGCCAACCAAAGAAAGACCTGACGTGTGAGTATGAACATGCACACATGCAGAAAACAGATGGAGTTTTCAATCCTTACACACTTCTTTTACTCCTGCTAAAGATATTCCACAAACTGAAAGCCTAAGAATGCCATGAGGTCATGAGTAACTATCTCTCTGGCAGTTAGGATGGAGAAGGGACCACTGACCACTATGACAATAATAGTTGGAAATGATCACTCTGGATGAGAACTGAGTGCTGAAAATAGGTAAAGGGACAAACATGATAACCTTTTCAGTACCTGTATTGCAAACCATAATGCCCAAATGGGGGAAGGGGGAAGAGAAAAAGAGAGAAGGGAGAGAGAGAGAGATACAGAGAAAGACAGACAGAGAGAGAGAGAGAGGCAGAGAGACAGAGACAGAGAGACAGAAAGAGAAACAGAGAGAAGGCAAGTGCCGGCCATAGAGGCAGGATGGGGGGATGGGGGGAAAGAAAGGAAACTGGGACATTGGTGGTAGAAAATGTACACTGGTGAAAGGAAGGGTGTTAGAGCATAGTATGACTGAAACCCAATCATGAACACCTTTGTAACGGTATCTCACTGTTATTCAATAAAAATCAAATACATTTTTTAAAAAGCCATTTTAATTGAAGAACCAGGATTACGATAATAATAATGCTACGTTTCACGCATGCATCATTCCAATACCTCCCCATGACAGAGAGAGCCTGCATCCCTCCCACAGCATCCCGAAGGCCCTGCCCAGGCACTGCTCTTCCCCCATAGGAGTTTAGTTGTATAGGCAAAACCTCCATTACCAACAATTTGGCCATTTGTTGTTCCCTTGTTGTGTTTATTTATAGACCACCCATGAGAGGTCTTTAAATTTTTTTTTTCATCGTGGAGGTGATGACATGGACACACATACAGATAACTAAAACTGAACTCCTAAAAGTCTATAATATTGAAATCAAGGATAAGATGAAAAAACATTTTTCAAGAACTGTATCTTTTTCTTCAGCTACACAGTGGCTGAATAAATAGCAGTACTCCTACATAAAAAAAAGAACACTATCTTTTTCTTCTTGTAGGTATGTAAATTTAAAAAATAATGTAAATAATTCCCTGCAAATACATTTTAAAATTAACACAAAATAGATAAATCCTACAAATACACAATTTGCTAAGAGTAAGGAGAATTAAGAAAACTTAAGGGCATTTTTTTATTTTTTATTTTTTGGGTCACACCCGGCGATGCACAGGAGTTACTCCTGGTTTATGCACTCAGGAATCACTCCTGGCGGTGCTTGGGGGACCATATAGGATGCTGGGAATCAAACCTGGGTCAGCCTCGTGCAAGGCAAATGCCCTATCCACTGTGCTATTACTCCAGCCCCCTTAAGGGAAAATTTGAATATCACCTGTCACCTATCAGTTCTTTGTTTTTTCCGATTTTGTGACTTATTTTCTTGGAAGCAAGTGTACTTAAAGCTATCTCCAGGATTTTTGACTCTGTTAAATGTTTAGACAGTAGACATGTTCCTTCAATATATATTTGTTAGGAAACTGCTTTATTAACTGTGATGATTCTTAGCTTCTGAGAGCTATAATAAAATAACTCTTTGGGGTTGGGGGGTGATGGGAAGAAACCTGGGGACACTGGTGCTGGGAAATATACACTGGTGGAGGGATGGGTGTTGGAACACTGTATGACTGAAATCTAATTGTGAACAGCTTTGTAAGGGTCTATCTCACAGTGATTCAATACAAAAGTTAAAAATAATAACTCGTTGGTCCTATGTGGTACTTTGAATGATAACATTTACATATCCAAATGAAATACTGCAGATTAGAGTATTTACACACAAAAATTTAAAATGCCCAGAAATTTCTCATTTCCTGGAAAACATCAATCATACTACTGCTTTACACACACACACACACACACACACACACACACACACACTCACACACGCACGCACACACACACACTCACACACACACGGATAAAACACAAGAAAAACAAAAACATCTAAAATTCTGACAGTGAAAGCTCAGAAGTGTGTAAAAATGCACATGTATTCTCATGCACATATATACGTCCTTGGACAGTCACAGAGTGCATTTCTTGAGTAAACTCTACATTTTTCTACTGATAAGGAATGCATCGCTCCTAGCAGAGAGGAGGCTGGCCCTTTCCAAAGGTAACTCAGTACCATGCTACTCTTCACCATTCTGTCAGTCCTGAAATGCCAAACTACATAAACCTGGACGTGCTGACTTGGATTCTTTCTCAGAAGTACACCTCCTCACAGGAGTTTTGCCAATCAAGTCTCATTTAAGAGAGAGAAGGGAGGGATAAGAGAGGGTGATTCATTCTGAAAGGGAACTATGTATTTCCCACCCCAGGGGGAACAAAAATGTTCCCTTTTGAGTGTATCCAAAGGCTGAGGAGGAGCAACTCTGAAGGGCTGTAGCTGTCACTTTGGCTGGAGTATGACACTATTAGTCACCTTGCTGAACAGCACGGGCGAAGAATGACCGATATTCAGGAGTAAAGCTGGCAGGAATAACACATCTTTTTTTTTTCTTCTTCTACTTGGCTGAACTTTCAAATGTGAGTGTGCTGAAAGCACCTTAAAATCCTGATTTCTGAGATGAGTTAAGATAGGAAGTAAAGCACTAGTTGCCTTAATTTAGTGATACTGAATACTGGATGTTAATACATTTTTCCCACTTTTATCATTCATCCTTTCAGACATGCTCGAGTTAAAGCAGTGAGCCACAACGTGGGGTCCTTGGATTGGCAATGCCTGGAAACCTGTTTGAGAAGCACATTCCAAGCCTAGTCCAGATCTGCTGAATCAGAAATTCTGGGCAGAAGGTGCAGTAAGCTGTGACATGAGAAGCTGTGCTGGTGACTCTGACACAAGCTCATGCGAAGAACCGCTGAATTAACGAACCTTCAATAAGCAGATTCTAACCCTGGCTCCCTTTCTCAGTTACAGATCTTAAGCAAATTTGTTAAAAGAGAAGCAGGGGCCAGAGAGATAGTCCAGGGGTTAAGGCACTTGCTTTTTGCATATACCTGACTCTTGTTTGATCCCTGGCACCACCAGGAGTGATTCCTAAGCTCTGCAGTAAACCTTGAGCACCACCAGGTCTGGCCGCAAGACAAAAAACAAGAACAAACAAAGCAATCCATGTGCATTTAGTCCACTAGTTATCATCTAAGAAAACTCAACACGGTGAGGTTTGAGAAAAGAAACCAACCAAACTCACATGTAATTTTTCCAGGTCCCGTTCTGGCTTCGAGTCTTAGGGCGCAGGGCACTGGGCGAAGGGAGAGCTGAGAAGGCCACAGCAATCCATTCAGACATGGACCCCGAAGTGCTGTGGGGCAACCTCACGGCAGGTCAGCGGCGGCCACCTGAAGGGGGAGGAAGAGTTGTTCATTAGTTGAGCAAACCTTGCAGGGGACTGTTTCCTCCACCCTCTTCCCTGGGATATGCTTGCTGCTGCTTTTATAACCCTGCTGACCTCCTGTGCTTCTGCCATGTGCCTGGTGACTGGCATATCAGCAGAGCACGACAGAACAGTGTATGGTATCAGTGGTCGTGGGCTCAGCACAGGAAGATGCCCTGTTCTGGCCAGTGTCCCCTTTTGTGAGCACACTCCTGGGAGCTCTCCTAGACCTCAGAGAGATGCCCACGTCCTCTCAGCTTCTCCATTATTTCAGCAATGTTTTATTTTTTTGGGGGGGGTGAGGTTTGTAGGGGTTCCCAAGTTGTTCTCAGGGGTTGCAGGAGTCACCACTGGTGATATCTGGCCCAGAATGTGGATCCAGAGTTGTTCAGACCATGTACTGCTGGGTCAGCTGCATGCAAAGCATCTTTCCAACCCCCTGCACTATCTCTCAGACCCCTGGTTCTCTTTAATCAGAATGCACTGTCTAAAAGACACGTGGAAGGGCTAGAGAGATAGTACAACAGGGAAGGTGCTTGTCCTGGGTGCAACCGACCTGGGTTCAATCTGGGGCACCACATAGGGTCCCCTGATCCCCACCAGGAGTGATTTCTAAACCCAGAGCCAGGAGTGAGCTCTGAGTTTCACTGAATGTGGCCCCCAAACAAAACAAAACAAAAACTAATATTTTGCTTAATTTCTGCTTTTTTGTTCAGTGATATACGGATATAAGCATTCTTCAAGCTACTAAAAATTCTCTAAAAAAGCTCGCCTCCAAATATTTGTTTTTTTCTGCTTCTTTTATTCAGTGTACATCTTCTCAGTTATTTCTTTGATTTTTTTGGAATTAGTGATTTTATCATGGTTTGTTGTTGTTGCAAGTAACATTTGAGGGGCATATCGAAATATCAGATTTCTGAATTTCTGAGTATCTTCTTAGAAAAATGAATCCTAGAACTATTCTTAGAGAAAGAATGATCAGGTCTAACAGTGTGGCACTGGGGGTCTTGGCTTTCCAGTGCAGCTCGACCAATGGACAGCAGCCCGAGGGTCTGGCTCTTCTGTTTAACTGTCCACTTAACCAGAGGCGCAAAGCAAAACACTTGCGCTTTACACATTTAAACAACACTGTCATCAATGACAACTGTTCTTAGGAAAAGTTTTGCTTTTCTTACATTGCAAGCAGCAAACAGAGGGCTCTGGAGGTAGCTCTGTAGCAGTCACCTGCCTTGCAAGCTTGAAGCTGAGAGTTTGATGCCTGGAAACATGTGGTGGGTACCACCTGGCGACACTGCTGTGTGGAATCCCTGGCATCACCATGAAGTATGGGATCTCCAGCGCATAGCACGAAGTGCACATCAGAAGCACAGTGGAAAGATGTGAGCACCAAGGCTGGAGAAGCAAGCCCAGGGGAGTGCGGCAAGGAAAGGCTGCCCAAGCATCACAATACTGTGACCCCTGGTAAGCGCCAAAGCCAACCAAGTATGTGATGTCCAGTCATCAAAATAACAACAACTAGCAATGCAAAGGGAAGGGAAAAATAAAAATAAAATGAGACAGCTCATTGTTTTTCACTTAAAGAGGCCTCTGAAAGTTTACTATCCAGTTGCTGTCACCTGAGTGGGATCTGGGCTGGGTAGGGATGTCACCCTCTGCCCGTGGAGCCTTAGCCTGGAGCAGGGTATATATGGGCAGGGGCATGAGAATGATTTGCCTCACCATGAGAAGAGAAGCAATCAGCTACTGATTCTTAGTGGGCCAATACATTATATTTCTGCACCATCAAGGTTGGAGGAGGGGTGTGGGGGTGGGGGCGGTTTCTTTCAGTCTTCTCTATTTTTCCTTTTTCCATTTTTTTTGGAAAGGGGAATGTCCTAAGCAGTGTTCAAGTACTCAGGGGATTCCTGGGCTGCTCCCAGCAAACCTTGGTCAACCTTGAATGGTTCAACGTTTGAGTTTGGCCACAAAGTGCTTAGGCCCCATGCTGCTAGAAGCTATCAGGGTCATACCTGGCAGTGTTCAGGAGCTCACATAGTATTGGGGATCAAGTTCTGGTCGAGGCCTATGTCACCTGACCCATGAGCTCTCTGCCTGGTTCCCTAGTCCTTTAAGTGTCTCTCTCTCTCTCTCTCTCTCTCTCTCTCTCTCTCTCTCTCTCTCTCTCTCTCTCGGCACACCCGGTGGTGCTCAGGGCTTATTTCTGGCTCTGTGCTCAGGGATCAGTCCTAGTCCTAGAGGGGCTCAGGGGACCAGCTGGGATGCTGGGATTGAATTCAGGTCGACTGCAAGCAAAGCAAGCACCCTAACGGCTGTGCAATGCCCTGGCCCCCATAGTTCTCTTTTCTTGGAGATTTGCTGCTTCTCAGCATGGCATCAGAAAAAGATGGGAAGATAAAAGTGAATCTGATGGGCTATGAAAATGGGCCAGTCCTCTGGTGCCCACTACGCCATGTCTCGTTTAATGCTGATACAATGGTATAAACACCAGTGACTGTGTTCGCCCATCAACCCCATCACCTTCAAGAAGTCTGGAGGAAGTAGAAGCTTATCAAAGACTCAAAGATCAAGTCTGATGTCCTCTTATCATCTTAACTCCAACTCCAGCGTTTTATGTTATGCAGTTTTACTTTTCTTTTTCCTGTCAGTGTCATCTATAGTATATACATGAAGCGGGGAAAACAGCATAAAGAAAACTCAAGAAGATTCTAGATAACAGTAAACACTTTGAAAATTTTACATTGACAGGAGGGAGGCTACATCTCTTAGAATTTGACAGAGAGCTGAGTCTGTTATTTAACACAAAACACAGGGTATACAGAGAGACGGTAGGAAGACACATACATAATATATACTTAAAAAATATGTATTCTTCCCAAGAAGGACTACAAATTAACAATGCTGTATCAAGACCCACAAAACCAAGACCCACAATCCCAAGTTCATTCCATCTGTATCCTTTTTTCCCTTTCTGATACACACACACACACACATACACACACATATATATACACACACATATATATACACACACACATACATACACACGTATATACAATATTTTCTTTCTCTTTAGAGGTGTTTAACTTTACAGGATAACTGGAGTAGTGGATGCCATGATTTTTACTTACAAATGAAAAAAAAACCTGAAGAGATATTTCTTTGTTATATGGTATGAAACAGTATCATTCTTCATTTGCCAACTCAATTTCTGTACAGTGCAGTACAGCATATATGATCAAATGACTGATGTTCAAGATAGTGAAGCAGAAAAGAGAGAAATTTTAATTTTATTTTTGGAGTGAGTGAAATTGATAGTTCTCACAATCTTAACGAAAATTAAGAAAAGGCTTTTTAAAAACGGCTCTAAGACAATAGATGCATCAAGAAATGGGCCATTTCCTTCAATGTGGTTTTATTCTCTTTATCATTAAAATAGCAGTCTCTCCGACAGCAAGGGAAGAAAATAGAAAATAAATAAATGAGATTACATCATGCTAAAAAGCACTTGCATTAAGAAGGAAACTATCATGAAAACAAAATATCCCGCCGCATGGGAGAAAATATTTGTACACCATACATCTGATAGGAGATAAGGGACCCAAAAAACTCAACAAGATGACAATCCCATCAAAAATGGGGAGAAAAGCTGATCTGACACGTCTAAGAAGACAGAAAGATGCACAATAGGCATGAGAAAAAATGCTCATTATCACTTATTAACAGGAAAATGCAAATCAAAATGAAAATCACATATCACCTAGACCTGTGAGAATGGAAAATTCAGGGGAGCAGAAGTAGGTTTAGGTGCAGCTGGGGGACACTTTCTGTTTATTTGCTTAAAAAATTAGATTTCCAGGGGCGCAGGGCTCTGGAAGATCTGTGTTTTTTTGAAAAGTGGCAGAAGGCCCAGTAAGGAATCTCTGATCTCTATGAAAAACATCAGAAAAAGGAGTGTAGCATGTGCCTTTATGCACAAAAAAATCTTGATTTACAATTAGTGTTACTGCAAAATGGTTTAGCCCTGATGGGAAAACAATATAAGGATTTCTAAATAAAAGTAAATAAATAAAAGATCTACGTGTGACCCAGCAATTCTACTCCTATCTACCCACAGAACACAAAAATACTAATCTGAAAAGATATATGCACACCTATATTCTTTGCAGCACTATTTAGAACACACAGTTCAATATGCATGAATATGAAGAAGATGTGGAGTATATTCATAATGGAAAACTATTCAACTATAAGAAAAGAAGGGAACTTATCTTTTACAACACTATAGACAAAATGGGAGGGGGTCATGCTAAGCAAAATAAGTTTAAAAATGAAAGGCAAAGATGGTAATCTCATTCATGTGAGGGATACAGAGAAGCAAAGCAATGGGAGAGACAAAGCGTCTTTGGTCACGACCTGACAACTCAAGGTTATCAGATGGGAAGGGAGGAAAACAGGACAACAGTGGGAAGGGATAAAGACTGATGAGAACACACTGGCACTTCTTGGGTAGGTGTAGTATGATAACATTTTTTGAACAGGTGTAATTATAACCCTAAAACATAGTCTTGGAAATAAATGTTATCTAAATTTAAATATATAAATAGCAGTCCTTGATAATTATGTGTCAACTGGAGAGAACAGTTCTGATTTTTTACTTCTCATGATGATATATGGTTAATTTTGTATGTACACTAGAACTATATGGTGTGAAAAATAAAGTGGTAACAGAGGAAATGAACACTCTAAAATATACTTTTTTTTTAAAAAAAGGACCTAAATGCTTAAGGATGTAAAAAAAAATCCACCACTAATAGCAGAAATGATTACCAGAAGTTCCTTAGATACTCAAACTGCACAACTAGCATTTCTAAAGCTAATTACAAATTTGGATTCTCTCATTTTAAAAATATACTTCAAAGCAGCCGACTTCTGTTTTAATGCTGAACCAAAGTCTGTGCAATTGGC